AATTCAATATCAGATATACGATAAGCACATATGCATTATTTATAGTTTCGGAATGAAAAAATAAACCGAAAGATCTGCAAAGTTATAAGTAATCAGTTCAGTCTTACTATCGTTATTTAGATTACAATAAAAATTGCAGTGTTGATGCGTATGGGTAGTGTATTTTTCAAAATCATATGTGCACTTATGATAGTAAAATGAACGTCCTTATAACAAGTAAATTTTCAATTTTGCTTGATTATAATCAATCGAAACTAGTATTGCCATAATGTCTTTTTTTAAAAAGAAAAAATCTTCATGAAATTCCAGTCTACTCTAATTCAGATCCAAACACTCTTATGAATTAAGTCAACTTCCCTTATAACAAAGCGGAGATTTGAAAAGGTATTTCCAAGAGGTAATGATGTTGAAAATATATGACCTATATGCACATACATGTTCATCCTTAACCCATGTAATATCGGTCGTATTTATAGCTGTTTTCAAAAAGGTGTAACCAGATGCAAACCACTATATCCACATGATTTCCCGAGGAAATCAAGAAATTCGTGTGGATATCCCATTATATAATGGTTTGCATCTGGTTACACCTTATTGAAAACAGCTGTAATTACAGTTTATACCCTGGTCACTATATCAAGATCGCAGGGCATAAATCAGTTATGTCCTGGGCACTATGTGATAAGCGGGACTTTCAGCCCCGCTTATACCCAACTGCCCAGGAAATAACTATTACATATCTGATACTTTCGTTGAGGCTAGGGGTGTTAAATTAGTCTTTTAAGATCAGACTGATCCAGATCAGATTAATTTAACATCCTAGTTGAGGCCAATTATTTAAATCATAATTAATAAATCATGTTATATATATCGACATGCTGTATCCCAGATTATTCCAGATTAGTTGTAGAATTAGGATTTTAAGGTTTGCGTTAGAATAAATAAAATTTAATTTTAGTTAGTATAAAATTACAAAAATTCTCTCCTCGACATAACATAGGGTGACAATTTACTAAAAATATTACTAACTCTGAGTAAATGGCCTGTTAGGGGGAATTTTCGGGGGAAATGAGCAACATATACCGATACAGTATATAAATCTAACTTTACAAATATCAAAGTAGCAAAAATAGCAACTTTATATTTAATAAAGCAAAACATATTAGTAAATCATGATTTTGTGATATTTTAATTTAAAAATATTTTAAAATAAATAGCTATAACACTTATTATAGCACGGCCACTATTTGATCATGAGTATTACACCATTTATGTTATAAATCACTTTCTTTTTATTTCGTCATTCATGCTTGTTATTTTGCACGATGCATACGTTATCCATACTTATCTGTTATATTATTTTTCTTTTTAATAGGTCGTGTAACTATTTATTATATTGCATACGAATTAAAGAAGGTTTAAAAAAAACATAAATATATAGTATAATTTATGATCAATGACGCCATACTATAATACCAATATACAGATATAGCATGATAATTCCGAGATACATCACACTGGTACAGCGATAATTTTTTTAATTATTCAGAAAATGCCGCTTCGCGGCATTCTTTGATCAAAAAAATTATCACTGTATCTCATATTATCGGGTACATATCACTTCATAGAAGTTTATTTCACAGACACCTTGTTTCACAGACAATCAGTTCATAGACAAGTTTATTTTAAAGGCAGTTGATTTACAGACAGTTCATTTCATAGACAGTTCATTTTATCGACAGTTTATTTTATAGACAATCTTTAATAGTAAATAACTTCTGAATGATTGTCTACAAAATGAAATGTCTATAAAATGAATTTTCTATGAAATGAACTGTCCGTAAATCAATTGTCTTTAAAATAAACTTGTTTACGAATTGATTGTGATACGTACCCCATATTATCATACTATATTATAATTATTTCATTATCATTTGAATCGTCTTAATGAATATTATTAAAATTTTAAGTATTCAATTACCTGATTTTAAAATAATTTACTAAAAGTAAATATTCATAACGATAAACCATGATTTACTTGTTTTCGCCTTAGCAGTACTCATATTCTCTGTTATTAATAATCCTAACCCCAAATATTTTATCGAGACATGTAAATTTCTGGTTAAAATAGAACAAGATTTATTATAATCTGTCACAATTATTGAAATCAGATTTTTTCGTTACAAATTTATGATGTGCACCATATTTCTGTTTCATCTTTGTTTTATTTTTAATAATTTTTACCATATCAATATTTAGATGGATGTATGTACAGTATAGTTATCTCGTTTATACTAATTATGACGTGACAATGATGACGCGTATCAGGTATAGAGATTATAACGCGCTCACTTCACCGACAATCATTTCGCCGAAAGACATCACATAGGGTTAGGATTTATATTTTTAGTAAATTGTCACTCGGCGGATCCGGGTGCAAGTGAGATTAATATAAATTCGATAGATTACATGGCACAAATAAAACTACAATAACAAAAGAGACGTTAAGTAAAGAGAATAATTACACTCCTTATCACCATAAAACTTTTTTAGTCTATTATATTTAGGCGACTGATATCACATTCATGTAGATCACTTTTTTTAAAAACTTTAATCGAAGGTATCTCGACAACCACCTGATCAAATTCGATGAATTTTTTATTAGAATTCTACAAATATGCAGAATTCAAATAAAAAAAAATTCATCGAATTTGGTCATGTGGTTATCGAGATACCTTCAATCAAAGTTAGTTAGAGAAAATTTTGCCGCGGCTATTGCTTTGATAAACATTTAGATTTTTTTAAAACTTTGATCGAAGGTATCTCGACGACTACGGATCAAATTTGATGAAAACTTTTCTATTAGAATTCTACAATTATGCAGAATTCAAAAAAAAAAAAAAAAAATTTAATAGAATTTAGTCAGCTGGTTGTCGAGAAACCTTCGATCAAAGCTTTTAAAAAAATCCAACCGTCTATCAAAATAATAGCCGCGGCAAAATTTTCTCTAACTTTGATTGTAGGTATCTCGATAACCACATGACCAAATTCGATGAATTTTTTTTTATTTGAATTTTCATACTTGTAGAATTCTAATAAAAAAATTCATTGAATTTGATCAGTTGGTCATCGGGATACCTTCGATTAAAGTTTTAAAAAAAGGTGATCTACATGGGTGTGGAAATATCCGTCGCCTAAGGAACGGTATTTTGCGTCTATGGAATAAAATAAGAAAAATTTTTACCAAATTTAGTTTGATCGTTTTCTTGATATCGTTAGTGCTATTTTAGATGTTAAAAATAGTTGGACACTCTGTTACACTGATATAATTTTTTCCCATTACCAATTATTCTCTTAACGACAATAATTATCGTAGTTAAATTTTATATTTACATTTAATTAAAAAACTTTGCTTTATGCAATAAGGATTAATGCATGCATATACTGCATTATTTATTACTTAAAATTCATTATTAATTGATTTTTTAAAAAAATAAAAAATATATAAGTTATGTAATATCTTTAATAGAAGGCAGTTTAAAATTACATAGAATTATATAAATTTATATATTTCTCTTATTTGAAACAAATGATTTTACTTTTCGATGATCGGGTACGAGTTCTCGAGCGCTCCCTTGAGTAAGTAAACAAAAAAGCAAGTTCCAATTTATTAGATATATTGTTATTCTCAACATCAATCAAATCCTTTTAATGAATTACCTAATTTTGTAATTTCTATATTGATGTTCGGTTACAAATTACAAGAGAAGGGCTTTAATGCATTGTGTAGCAAGATTACTAATTAACAATAGTGATAATTATGATAATTATTACCAATAATATGCTTCAATCAAATTAAGTTACAGTTTCATGATATTGTGTTTTTTCTGGTATGATATCGAAACAGTCAGGTCAGCTACCAACCTTTAAAGTGGCTTGGTCAGCTGACAAAATTCTATGGCTTTATCGTTATTCTAGCCTGTTTATTAGACTAGTCTTAATGCTAGTTTTTTTGTTTTTTTTTTCCTGATTTGTAGCCTGGAAAATGGTTACAATAAAATATTGGTTCTAACTGTTTAAAATGATTTAATGAACTTATAATAATTGGAGATTAGACTCGTTATACCCTGTTATTAATAAATGTCGCGGCTGATGCTGGAATTTGGGGGCTCGAATAAGCCCTGACCTATATATACTCTTTAAATATCAAATCTAACTCTAAACCCTAACAAAAAGACGAAAAATTTTAAAATTTCATAAAAATAGGTCCAAATTTTAACATCAGTCACGACAATAATTATGGTAAACTCATTTTACAGTCTTTTTTAAGTTAGTCAAGTCATACACTTGTTAAAAATTTAGGAGTTGACGAGTAATAGACTTTAACTGGATAAGTGTATGTTACAATTAATGTAACGCTAATTCATTATTATTACAGGCCTGCAGGACCTCATCGCTATGGACTGGTTCTAATATCAGATATTTGATACACAACGTACGTACCAGAGTGGACTGAAATATGTGTTATATGTGCACATAGGTATATATCAGGATAGGTTAGTCGCGCAATCAAAATTCGATCAGTTGCCCAATGTCAGTGCTTAGTTATTCGGACCAACATCGGGCAGATCAATAGAATTTTTGATTGACATATCATATATTTCAGTCAACTCTAGTACGTTACATACTTGATGTGCTTTGCGTATTTATTCATGTGATTCTAGTTTATACTAGTGTCGCCAAATCTTTGTATATACGAGGTGAATAAGTTACATAATACCAAATTTTACACGAGATGATACACATCTATCACAATTTTAACACGAATTAAAAAAGTTGAATTTTATTCCCAAGTATTCCCAAGTATTACAGATTAAAGTTCTAATAATTATATTATATTATTCTGTATCATAATCATTTTAAGGATTTATCAATTGACAAATAGAAATGTAACATGTTAAAAATTTTTAAAATTAGTGGTTTTTCTAGGATTATAAATTTTAGGCAAAGTGCACCATTGCTGCTGCTACTACAATAAGACTAAACAGAAGTTTAATGCTTGATCCTGTGAAGCTTATAGCTGCATCAGATGATGTTGGTGCTGTTGTAGGAGAACCTGTTGCTGGTTTACTAAAAAAATAATAAAAAATAGATTATTAACACGCATTTAAATATTGTATGTGTATAAGTTGTAAAATACTTACGAAGTGGTATTGCCACTACTGCTACTGCCACTGTTGGCTGGGGGAGCTTTAGCGGCGGTGGATGGTTGTTGAGAGGCAGGTGCAGCAGCGGATGGTTGTTGGGCAGGTGAAGCAGGTGAAGCACCACCGGTGGGTGCAGCAGAAGCAGGAGCGGCGGCACCAGAACCAGCTGGAGCAGCTGGAGCGGCGGCACCAGAAGTAGCTGGAGCTGGAGCAGTAGAGTTACTAGTAGTACCTCCGGGTGCGAAGACTGTGAAAGTTCCAGTATCTTTATTACCAGAACCGTCGTTGAGAGCAAGGTAATAAGTGCCCGCGGGAACATTGACTGTCCATTGGAAAGATTGAGTACTGAGAGTTATGGTACTGCTAATTATGACTGTGTTTTGGGTTGTGCTATCGACAATACTTAAAATGCCTTGAATTGGATTCGTTTGTGGAGTATATACCCAGGTGATAGTAATAGTAGCACCAATTGCAATGGGACCTGCAGGCGTGTTAATTGTTGAAACCTCTGAAAATAAAGATAACATGTTAGAATTGCTTGATATATTTAATTCAAATTGTTTTATGCCCTTTAGGATATTATTTTGGATACCCTGCTTTTTTTTTCGCTTTAGACTGTCTACACATAATTATGATATAATCAAAATAAATAAGTAGAATGATATTTCTTATAAAAAGGCTCTTCTCAGCTTCCATTATTAATAATTATATATAACCCTTCTATCAAATTCGCATGTAGAAAGAAAAGTTGAACTTACGGGCACAAGCAGCCCCAACAAAAGCCAAAAGTAAAGTAAGGTAATAGATGAGTCGTGACATGATTATTTATGTCCGGGTTGTTTTTAGCCTAAGTTGTAATAATGAATGAGGTAAAAGAAACGAACAAGAGTATAATAAAAAAAACTACTTTGCCTGGGAAGAGGGGCAACCGAGATATTTATACTTAAAAGAATTAAAAAAAAAAATAATAGAACTGTAAATGGTATCTTATAATGTTCCATTTGTATAATAATTGAGAAAATATCAAGAAACACGTGGATGATTTTGTTTCATGTGTTACATAATATGAATTCATAACTGCCTAATTGTGACATGCGTTAATATTTTGCGCACAAATTTATTAATTCTGCCAAGTTACAAAAAGTGCTAGATGTAAACGCATGTATGACTATTTGGTTAAGATTGCTTAAAATTTGAAATAAATATAGTTTGTGTGGCTGAATTTGAACTATTTTTAACGAGTATACTGCCAAGTTTTCTTCCCCGAATCCGTACCATATCACAACAGGATTAGCAAATTACTTTTATGGTAATAAAGTCATAAAACTTTAGACATTACTTGTTAGCCTTTGCGACAAAGGATAGTAATCTCGTTACCAACTATGGGATTCTTCACTTATTCTGCTACAACACATGTTCAAAATATTGATAATGTAATATCGGGTTCGATTCGGCTTCTTTGCTGTGTTGCATCCTTTATTATATTTATATTATTTATTTACGTTTATATTTA